TAATTCTCTTAGAAAATTTTAGTTTTGGCTAGTTCTTGTCCTAGTCTAAGTTTTCTTTTATTTCAGTTTTCTCTTGGTGTACTCCTTAATCCTTTAATGAAATACCTTTTGGCTATATTATTTTATTTTACTTTATTGTCTAATCATAATGCATTGTTGTGAATCAACATTAAATAATACGTAGAGACTTATTAGCATATTAATCATGCTTTAACTTGTTTAGATGCTCTAACTTTTTGATGTTGTCAAAAAGGGGGAGAAATATAATGATTTTGATAAACCTTAAAAGAAATGCAAAACTCATCATAGTAATAAAATGTGCATTTAGCACTGACGTGTGTTTGTTTGTTTGATGATTAACCGAGGAACTCTGAACAAGTTCACTAGGAATTCTAAGATAGGTCAAAATGAAAGAACTTTGTTAAAGTTATTAAAGTTTTGCATAAGTTGTACACTTTGTGAACATATGTTCAAGAAGCAGATAAATCGAACACTGTTAAGAAGTTAAGAACTTTCTGAAAGTTTAAGTTATCTTGATTTTGGTATCATAATGTTCAGAAGATGTAAAATGTCTGAGAATGTGATATTCAGAACATAAGAATCAAAAGCAGAAGCAGATGCTTTCCAGGAGAACTGAGCGAATCAGAAGTTGAAGACTATCTAAAAAAATCTGGATAGAAGAAGCTCTGATGAATTCAATATCTCAATTCGTTCTATTGGTATCAAGAGTCAAGACTCTCAAGAGCTCAATATCTGATCTATTGGAACCAGGGGGAGTTCTACTTAAATGGTTCAGAGTCAAGATATTTGATCTTCATCAAGTCTTTGACTCAGGGGAGTTTCATAAAAAGGATAAGTGTTTCTTACTCTTTTTATTTTCACTTTTTCTGATTATATAACAAAATTGTGTCATCAAAATACATAGTTTTGTCATCATCAAAAAGGGGTAGATTGTTAGAACAAGATTTGGTTCTACAATATTATCTCTGAGTTTTGATGATAACAAATGAGTATGTTTGTATGAAAACTTTTTATACTCTAACGTTTGTTACTTGTGTGTATCTAACAAACAGGTTCTGCTTCCGGTGAATGGTATGGCCAAGACATTATAAGAGACAAGCCCCGCTTCTACGCTACACATGTTCTGATGAACAGTAGAAAGACACTCCAGAAGACACTGAAGTATAGCCTATGATATATTCTAAATAAACCATTCAGAATATCTGAAGACAAAAGTTCTACTGAAGTCCAGATGCTAAAGACTCATGTTTCTAAAGACAACATGTTCTAAAGAAACTAGTCATAAGATCTAAAGACATAAGTTCTAGTTAAGTCCATATGTTGAAGACTCATGTTTCTATAGACAAAGGGTTCTCAATACCAAGTGATAAAGACTCTAAAGATGAAGTTCTGAAGACTGTTAAGACTTGAATTTCTAAAGACCCAAGGTTCTAGAAAAGGTTCTCAAGACCAAGTGTTGAAGTTTCGAAGACAAGGTTCTGAGTGAACAGGTTCTGACGACTGAAGACTTGATTATCTGGAGATTCAAATGTCAAGATTCGACTCATGCTTCAATCATCTACCATCACATACTACTGCTACTCCAGATACTGACATCCCTCTTGTCCCCACGGCTACCTAAGAACCTCCTGCTATTGTTGATCCTCCGCCTCCCCGTTATCCCTCTCATGACCGTAAGTCTACTCAATTGCTTGATTTTTTTTATTCCACTTAATCTTCTTATTTTTCTTCTTTTCTAACCTCTATCCACAACTTGTCTGAGCCATCTTCCTATAAAGAGGTTATTCTTGACTAGGGATGGAAAAATGGGCCCGGTCCGTTAGACATGTCTATTTTGCTCGCACTTTATTGCGGTACGGGCCAAGAATATAGGCTATCACCCTCTAACGTGACTGCCCCACCTCATTTTCTTTGCGGGCTTTTGCGGGCACGAGCATTAACATAAAATTTACATTTTTAGGCATAAAATATGCAATGCCCACGAGCTTTCCTCGCTCCACACTCACTTTTTTGCAGGGCAGGCCTAGGTTTTAGGCCCTCATCCTCAACTATGCCCGCCCCGCCCTATTTTCTTGCGGGCTTTTGCAAGGCGGACCTAAACGGGGCGGGCATGCCCGTTTGCCACCCCTATTTTTGACCCACTTTGGCAGCAGGCTATGACAGAAGAACTTTCTGATTTACACAAAATAAATACTTGGTAATTAGTATCGCTTCCTCTTGGAAAATGTGCTATTGAGTCTCGTTGGATATACAAGATCAAAACTAAGTCTGATGGGCCAGTCGAGCGCTATAAAGCATGTCTTGTTGCAAAAGGATTCTCTCAATAATATGGTATGAATTATGAAGAAACTTTTGCTCCTGTTGCTAAGATGACTACTATTTGCACTCTTATTGTAGTTGTGTATGTTCGTCAATGACATATTTCTCAAATGGATGTTAAAAATGAATTTCTAAATGGTGATCTTCAAGAGGAAGTTTATATGGTACCCCCACAAGGTGTTTATCATAATCAAGGGGAAGTGTGTAAGTTGAAGAATGCATTATATGGTCTGAAACAAGCTCCATGAGCTTGATTTGAGAAGTTTACCACTGTGATTATATCTATTGGCTTTCTCTCTAGAGATCATGGTTCTGCTTTGTTTTTCAAGACCACTTATCATGGTCATATTTTACTCTCATTATATGTTGATGATATGATTATTATAGGTGATGATATGGATGAAATTAATGATTTGAAATTACAACTAGCCAAACAATTTGAGATGAATGACTTAGGCACTCTTCGCTAATTCTTGGGCATTGAAGTTTTCTACTCCCCTAGAGGTTATCTTCTCTCTCAATCCAAGTATATTGGCAACATTCTTGAACAGACTGGCCTTTTTGATACTAGAGTAGCAAATAGTCCTCTTGAGTTGAATGTGAAATATGCTCCATCTGATGGTGTTCCTCTGCAAGATCTCACCTTATACCGTACTTTGGTTGGCAGCCTCGTGTACCTTACGATTACTAGACCAGATATTGCTTATGTTGTTCATATTATTAGTCAGTTTCAGAGTCTGTTATGCTTTTCATATGTTATTATCTTCGAGGAACCCAGTTTCAGAGTCTTCTCTTGCCCTCAGTCTCAGATGGTATCATTTGGAGAGTGATATTAGAGCTCTCAAACAGAAAAATATAACCATTTAGGAATTCTATTCAGCAATGACTAATTTGTGGGATCAATTGACTCTTATGGAATCGACTGAATTTAAAGTTGTCAAAGCATACACCAATCAAAGAGAAGAACAACATTTGGTTCAATTTCTGATGGCACTTAGGGATGATTTTGAGGGCCTTCGTGGGGGTATTCTGCATCATAATCCTCTTCCTAGTGTTGATTATATTTTTAATAAATTATTGGCAGAAGAAATCTGACTCAAGTCCGATTCCAATTTGATTCTAGATAAAGGAGTTCTCTCGACTCCTCCATTTGTTTTTGCTGCTCCATTTCACAAAGGAAAACCTCAAGGTAAAGTCGGGTTTGGTATTGATGAATGTGCTTTTTGTAAGGAGAAAGGTCATTGGAAAGCACAATGTCCAAGATTGGAAAACACAATGATATCTGTGTTGTTGGAGTTTGTTTGAAGTCTCACATTGTTTAGGTTCTCGGGTTGTTGAATGTAAAAATATGTGAGGACAACCTCCCCCTTTGAGCTAGTTTTTGGAGTTGAGATCCAAGCATATTTAACATGATATCAGAGTCGGGTTAAGGACTGTAATGTGGACGTTTGACCCATGCCCACAATAGACATGAGGATGGGTGTTGAAGTTAGTATTTGTGTTATTGGAGTTTATTTTAAATTCAATATTACTTAAGTTTCCGGACTATTGAGTATATAAATATATAAAAATAATCTCATTTTTTAAGATAGTTTTTCAAATTGAGATCAAAACATATTTAACAAAGATTACGTATGAATATTTTATTAGTATCATGCATACTAAAATGTATTAGTACATTATTTGTGTATGTACTATAACTTATAAAAAAAAAATTTGTTATATACAAAATATGTAGTTTTACCCAAGTATTACATAGGAAAACAACTTCTTAACTAGATTTTGACTTGTTACAAACTAGGGATATCATTTCCAATAAATAATATAACACACCAAAAATATAAATATGCTCCCACTAACTATTATACAAAAAAGTTTTATCTTTATTTTTAATGAATCTAACCCATTTTACAATATCATCAAAAAGAGTGTTCATCTTGAACTTCATTGTACTTTCTCATATGGTAGGATAGTACTTTTTAAATATTTTCATTAATGCTTTTGTTTAGCTCTCCAGCTTCCATATTCACCGTTCAATAAACACATCTGCTAAAAATGGTTAGTCACTATGGTCTTTTGAACTATAAGAAGGTGGTTGAATAGATGAGTTTACTTAATACTTCGATTGCAAGAATTCAGATATTTTGACAAATTAAAATAAACTACAAATATTCACATTACATCTCTACAAAATACTATCAATAATCTTATCAACTATTTTGTAGACAATATTTATTTGAGAGAAAGTCTTATCAACTACTGTCAATGTTATTTGTTTGGTAGAGACATTTGTTTTATAAATCAAAATTTTGTAATATTTTTAATTATTTTTAATTAAATTTTATTAATTCGACAATAATAATAAAAAGAGGATGTTATCATGGTAAATCAAAATTCAATATCTATAAGTAAACTAATATTAATTTCTAATTCGTTTTTATGTATTATTTATATTTGTAATATTTTTTTTAACTATTGATGTATATCACCTTTAACTATTGATGTATCACCTCCTCGAAAGTATTTATTTTTAAGTAAAATAATATAATATATAAATATTAAATTTAAATAACAGTAAGAAATCATGACAATATTATTTTAATTTGATATTATTTATTTATTTTTCATCTTATTTTATTGTTGTTGTTGAATTCATGAAACTATTTATGGCAGCAACAATAATATTTTTGTTTACACACGCCATGTAGATGACCTGGAAATGTTGAGCATGCATTTAAACACCCTCGAATATTACATTCTTCTGGCCCTACATTCCAACAACAATATTCTTCACATATTGGAGGAACATTTGCTTCTTGTCCTAAAAATAAAAATAAAATTCCATTAGAAACTATGGGTGAATCATAGATATATATATATATATATAAGTACTTTGATTAAACAAAAGATTATAGAACTATTGTCACCTGATGCCAAAACTACAAGAATGCATAGAATTGCATAGGTATAATTGAGAGTATTGATGCGAGTAGCCATTTATTTCTATGTTGAAAGATGGACAATCAACACTTTGCAATTTGCTGCTATTTAAGGTGACAAGTAAAGTTAATATGATTAATTTAAAAGAATGAAAGCAAAATTCTTTGACTGTTGATAAAAATATTTTTTATTGTACGTATTTATATGTAGTTTCTTTTTAAATAATTATTTATTTGGTCCATCTGTTTGTATTTATAACATCCTACAAGAATACTATAAAAAAATGGTATTAAGATAGTATAATAACCACTATTTTTATTTAATAATGTATATTCAACGTATTAAATAAATTTGTTTTTTGTCATTAAGAAAAGAACAAAACTTGTTTAATAAAGAAAATAAAAGAACCAAAATAAATATTAGCTTTAATTTGTTTTCCTAGTTAAAAAAAAAAAGGAAGCAATGTTTTTTTAAAAAAAAAAACAAAAGAAGAAAAAAGACATTAACTTAATAGAAAGAGAAAAAAGAGTTTTATTTCTTCAACTCCCTAAAGAAAACATGGGGTAAGAGACATGTGCTTTCCTTAGAATATAGGAGTGTTTCTTCCTTTGAAACTACGACCATGGATCTGGGCTCCGGTCGGACAATCGACGCTTTAGTCGGTTGGAGAACACGAGGAACACGTGGGGCATTAAATGCTAAGTCATGATGAGTTTGTCTTGGGATGGCACAACCAGTGTGAACCTTTGATCATATTGCATGCGGTGATCAAAACAAGTATTGACTTTCTCATTTCCATTGTTCTTTTTCTTCTTGAAATGAGGAATACTGGAAATCCCATAAGAATAATGACGTGATAGAGCCCTCTATTCAGAATTTTTTATCTACCTACCACATTTTTATTAATAAATTATTATATTATCATACATTTCAACACATATTCCTAATATACTATATTTTCAAACAAAACAATTGAAATAAGAGACTTCGTCCATTAGATTGGCGGATGCTCTCTAAATTATAAAACTTCTGCCCATTAAATTGGCGAAGCTGTTATAATATCATTTTTTTTAATATGATATTAAATTATACAGTGAACACGTTAATACTCTGTTTACCGTTGTTTTTGGTAAACAATCGCTGGTCTCCAAAAAGGTAAGTTTTTGGTTTACTTGCGGGATCGACCAAACTAATCCCATAACATATGTTAATCTTTATGTAAAATGAGTAAGAAGGAAGAACGCACGTTCGACCCAAGGGAAAGATGTTTTAAGATTGTTGAAAGTAAAAAGCATAAAAAATGCAAATAAAAGAAGTAAAAAGGTAACTTTGCAGGATAATGGTAAAGTAAAGTAAAAAGACTTTTATTAAGTAAAAAATGTGTTTCTAACGTACATTGCTCTGTTTTTTATCCTTTCTCACGCAGTAGTTACTTGGATAATATTTGAGAGATTTAGTACCATAAGTTGAACACACTAAAAATTACACAAACTTCTTAATTTATACTAAAAGTAGGTAACCGTCGAGGGGACATTCTGCGCTAGGATGAAGACAAGTGCCTTCTGCATGCCTCTCGACCCATAGCCTTTTGCCACGTTCTCTTCCCTTAGACGCTGATGAAAACCACCTTTCCCTCCAATAATTCAAATTTCAAATGGTCTTCGACCCATATGCCAAGGCGCGAATACTTTCCTTTAGTCGAACAACCTAAATCTGCTTCAGTCGAATGAACCTTTAGTCGAAGCTTCTTATCATACCTTGGATCCTTTTCCTTAAGTTATCTCATGCGTCGAATTATACCTCCTGGTCTAGTCTATTTCCAGTTGTTTGGTCAAAGAGACCAAATATAGTAAGTGTCGAATTTGGGAGCCAACAAATTGCCCCCCAAGAATGTCTATTTCGACACTCAAAGAAATAGCCATTCTTTGAACTTCCCATTCGACACCTGTCTTCTCAGTTGTCCACCAAGCTTTGACGTGTGCTTTTCGCCTTCTAACAACTGCTATACTTGGTAAAACCATCATTACTTTTTTCCAAAATGTCTCTTCAAAACTGTCGTTACCACGCTTGCCATGATGGCCTTATTCCTATAATCTAGGCAAGCATGTCCCAACGTTTCCCAATGCCTGCACGGTAATCGCTTCATGCCTCGCCACGTGCCCCACTACCTGCGAAACATTAAATTCCTTTGAGACGAGACATCTCCCACTTCTGAAGGCTATAAATACGTCCAAGCTTCTCTATTTAGAACTTTTATCATCTTCAGCTTTTTCAAACCCTTTGCATTCTCACAACACTGTACTGTCACCTTTGCTCTTTCTCTTAAGTCTTTAACAATGGACTTTCTCTCTAATGCCCCAAACAATCCGCAACCAAAGAATGCTAATGATGTTCAGAAACCACTAGAGATATTTTCCACCAACCCTCCTTCTTCCTCGACTAACAGGTACATTGCTGAACCTATGAGAGAATGGCGAGAAGCCTATGATTCTCAACTCCTTATTCCCGTCAGATACGGCGGAAAGATGTATGCTATGTCCGGCCCATTATCTTCATGTGTCGAAAATCCTTTAAAAAACCGTGCCTTTTTTCCTACACACCCAAGGCTTAGACCCATAGGTTGTGCCAAAAAACCTAGGGCAGACTCTGAAGATGCTACACCGGCTAACCAACAACATCCTCAAACTACTGATGATATCAACCTCCAGTTCATGAACAAAGGGAATCGAATCTTTCGATCAAGCCCTAACCTTTCTTCTGAATACTCCGACTGGTTGAATAAAATGGAGAGGATGCAAGCTTCTGTCTGGAAGGAGATGGGCATCTATGACTTAGTGATGTTGTCGAAGACAGGGTTACCTTATTGCCCCCTTATGTTGGTATCCTCATTGTACTTTTGGGATAGTGCACATTTCACTTTTCATCTTCCTTGTGGGATGATGAACCCTACTTTGTTCGACATAGCAGCCATCACTGGTCTTCGACCCACTGGTGACTATTTCGACCCTGAAGACTTGTCTGAGGATCCTATTGGGTTTGCTGCTACCAACCCCACCTATACCACCTTCATAAACCACTTTCATGACAAGGCCTCAAATACCGTGTCGGAGGTGGAGAGCATAGCCTTCTTGGCCATGTGGCTGTCTCGATTTGTTTTCTGCACTAAATCACTGCAGGTGACGAAAAAGATGCTGACGCTTGCAACACAGCTCCATCGCAAATACCCTTTTTGCTTGGCCGAATTGATTCTGGCCAACTTATATGAGTCCATCAGTAATGGTGTGACTCAACTTAAGGTTCTAGGAGACAGAGGAAGTTTGCTGCTATCTGGTCCCTTCTGGCTTCTGCAACTGTGGCTTAACGCCACCTTCGAATCCTTCCTCCCTCAAAAGAACAAGATCAATGAAGAAGCTCCTGAGATCTTGAACAGGAGAGTCGAAGGCACCAGGTTGGCATTGCTAACTCCCACTAATGAAGGCCAACAGTTTCAAAAGGCTTTCACAAGCTTCGTAATGATGTTTGCGAAGCGAAAGAGTTTTGTTTCGACTATGGCTCCCTTTGCCAGTCGAAAAGTTGGCCCAGAATGGTTCACTAGACCGTATCCTTCAGATGAAGAAGATGATGTGGCTGATGAGTTCGTGTGCATGTGGAAAGCGTTTCTCTGCCCCAGGATCATGCCTCTAAGATTTAAGAGCTCAAAGAACCAATTGAGCTTAATTTCCTATCAACCCAATCTTGTCTCTCGACAGTTTGGCATTGCTCAATCGCTTCCTTCGCCTATTTACTCTCGAGAGAAACTGCTACTTTTTTATAACGCAGATTACTCAGAGGATGCCGCTACCAAGCATATTGGTAGGTATTCTGGTCGAACTACACTGACCTTGTTCGACTTTAACCTTCATTTTCTGAACTGTTCCACTTTTGAGACATGGTGGAAACATTATTATGAGGAAGAGTTCTTCGATGAGAAGGACTTCGCCCACCATCTGCGTGAGGCCTTCAAGCTGGTTCTTGACAGAGTCAAAAAAGGTATTCCTTTTTCCAACCCTTCGTCTTAGATTTGTTTTCCAACACCTAATTAACTATAGCTGTTTTGCCTTCCGTTTAGCTGTCAAGAGGGTTGCCTCGAAGAAAACCGCTGAGAGTACAAAAGGGGGAGACTCTGCTATCAATCCCTCTCCTAAGGTACTTACCTTTCCTTTTTACCCTTAGTTTTATCTGACGTAGTTATTGATCTTCTCGACTTGGTTTTCTATATGCTCAGAAACCAACCCCCAAAAAGCGAAAGGTTCAAGAGATCCAAATCTCTAGCGATGAAGAAGAGGAGTCTCCACCTGTTCCTTTGCAGAGACGAAGATTGACAAAACCAACTCCTGCCGTCGAAACCCATCCAAAAGTCGGGATTAAAACTACGGCTGGAAGGCTACCTTCTGTCATCATCAATGAACCCACTGAACAAGAGGTAATCGCTAGGTTAAATAATCCTAGTGAAAGTGACAACTCTAGTCCTGGTGTTGAAATCCCAATACAGGTATCTACTTCGACTGCTTGTTATGTACTTCTCTCACTCTCTTTTACTTCGTGACGCTTTTAAAAGAAATAAATTCTTTCTATTTTCCAGGACACTGCTGGCACTTCGACACGAAATCCTACTCATGTCGAGGATTCGACCACTTGCTTGAATAGTGACGGGATTCCTACCTACAGACCCTCTTCAGCGAAAGACTCCTTCATGAGTTCAGCTGACGAAGTAAATCAGACTTCTGAACCCCAGCACGAAACCATAGAAGAAGCTGATGAAGAAGAAGCTGAAGGAAACCAAGAGGAGATTAGGATTCCTCTGGTCGAAGTGCAAGAGACTGGGGAGGAAGGTATCCCTGGCGTCGAAACTGAAACAAAGAGGGAACATGTGGAGATCCCAGAAGCTGAGGGTGAAGAAGTTTTTGCTGAAGGAAACCAAAATCCTCCAGGTACTGAGGCAATTCCTACTCAAGTGCCTAACGTGGTTATTACAGCTAACGCAAGCATCCCTTCGACGGGATCTAGAACCAAAGAGG